CTCGTGGGACTCACAGTGGAATTGCTGAGTCATGTGTTTTTATGTAACTGTTGAATGATTTGTTTTTGTTTTGTTTTCTGTTGACCTTGAACTCACAGTGATCCTCCTGCCTCAGCCTTTACCACCACGCCTGCCTGTTGCACTTTTTGAGGGACTGTCAGACTGTTTTCCAAAGCAGCGGTGCCACTCCACAGCCCCATGGGCTATGCTGCAGGGTTTCCATTTCTCCAAGTCCCTTCCAACACTTATTAATATCTGACCTTTTTATTATAGCCATACTGTAGTATGAAGTAGTTTTTCATTGTGAGTTTTTTGTTGTTGTTGTTTTTGGTACCAGGGATCAAACTCGGGACCTCGAGCTTGCCCGGCAGATGCTTATGCTGCTGAGCTAAATCCCTGGCCCTTCCATTGTGATTTTCATTGCATTTTGCTAATGGCTACTTATATTGAGCTTTTTTAATGTTTTAACTGGCTCGTGTATAACTTTAGAGAAATGTCTAGCCTCTCTTTTGCCTATTTTAAGTCCTTTTCTGCTAAAGAGATGGAGGTTTTCCTATGGGACTCCACAACCGATGTCTAGGGAGAGATCTCTGTTTAAAATACATCATCCAGAGGCAACAAAGGAACCCACTTGCCTCCCTGGTAGGCAGCCGAGGCTTGAGTGAGCAGCAGGTGACCCAGGGAGAGAACCAGGCAGCCAGTGTCTCCCGAGATCCTGCCATGTTGGAACTTAGGGTGCTGAGCAACAAAGCACCCACTCACTTCCCTGGTAGGCAGCCATGAGCCTACCCGTAAGCAGGCTGAGCATCAAACACCCCCACACCCCCTGTTAGCAAATGGAAGCCAGAGGGCTGAGCATGTCTTGGGAGAATGACTGTATGCAACATAACAAATGTGGGGGATTTCCTTCTACCATCTCTTTGAAGGAAGATATTGTTATCACTGTTTTGCTTAATTGTATTGCTCTATTCAGTACTCTGTTTTGATAGGTTTTATGATGTTCTGTATTTGGTTTGATTTTGCTATACTTGACTGAAAGGACAACTATATGAAGATAATGAGATATACTATGGTACCTTTTACTGTTATCCCGGTAACCTGCTGTGACGTTTTGTACCAATTTCACTGCACTGTCTGGATTCAGTTTATTCTGTCTTGTTCTGTTGTATTTTACTACCTTCAAAATAAATAAATAAATAAATAAAATGGATCATCCACCTGGGCATGGTGGTGCATGCTGGTAATCCCAGCACTCTGGAGGCTGAGGCAGGAAGATCCTTGCAAGTTCCAGACCAGCCTGGGCTACAAAGTGAGCTCAAGCCCAGCCTGAACTGCATAGTGTGACCCTGTCTCAAAAAAAATTAAAGAAAAAAAGAAAACGAAGAAATAGACTGTCCAGGCCCCTGCATTCCACACCTGGCCATCCTGTCACCCAGGCTTTTTTTTTTTTTTTGGTCTTTTCTGAGACAGAGTTTCACTGGCCTTGAACTCACTGTATTGTCCAAGGGGGTCTGGAACTTAGAGTAATCTTCCTGCCTCAGCTTCCTGAGTGCTAGAATAACAAGTATTTACCACCGTGTCCAACCACTGCCTACTTTTGAGATCCTGACCCTTCACCTCTGCCTCTTTCCTTCTGTCAGACTTCAGCCAATTGAGCGATAAAAAGCCCAGCCAGGTCTGCCCTCCGTGGTAGGGAGCTGGCCACTTGCCTGGGGTTACAGTTTGTCTTCTGAAGAATCCAACAGTTACAGTCTCTTATCAACGCATAAGCAGCAAATATTTTTTCCTGTTGGGTCCCCCATGCTGATGTCCATTAACGTACAGTTGTTAATTTTGATGAAGCCTGAGTTGGCAATTTTCTTCATTAGTTGCATGTGATTTTGGTGTTTCATATTCTTTCTAAGGCTCTGAAAAATTTCACATTATTTTGTTGACCCAAAAGGAAACATTATTTGAAGTAGGGTCCTTTCAATTGATTTTTTAAAAACCTATGCAGAAATAAAGAGAAAGCTGGCATGGTGGTACATGTCTCCAATTCTGGCAACCAGGAGGCTGAGGCAGGAGGATCATCATACTTTCAGATGCATGTAGCCTGGGCTACGTAAGGAGTTCAAGGCCAGCCTGAACTCTGAAAAACAACAACAAAAATAGAAAGAGAATGGGGTGATGAACCCAATGGACACATCACCCAGCCCCTCACTTTGTAAGTCGTGGCTTACCTTACTTTACTTAGACCTGCATTCATTCCCTTCACCCTGCTGAGGTGACTTTGAAGAACATTGCAGACTCCACATCATTTCAACCATAAATAATTAAATTTGAATCTCCAGGTGTGAAGATTCTGTTCAGTATAACCAGAATTCCATACTACATCCTGAAAAGTGAATAATAACCCTTTATGTCCTAAGACCTTGTGTCTGAGAATATAAGATCTAGTACAAGCAGTATTACAAAATCTAACTAATTTTGAGTTCAGTTTTCATAAATAATTAACTCTTACTAAGTGTCTTAATACATTAAAAAAGAAAGTTCTTTTCCATCAGTACCTGCCAATCCTATATCAGGTATTCTTCCAGACCAGGTGTGGTTGACACATGCTTGTAATCTCAGTGCCCTGAGAGACTGAGACAGGAGGATTGCAGGTTTGAGCCCAGCCTGAGCAGTTTAGCAAGTAGCAAGACCCTGTCTCAAAATAAAAACATTTTTTAAAAAATGCCTCGGGATGTAGCTCAGTATAAAGACCCTGGGTTCAACCCTTACTACGGAGAAAAAAACCCCAAAACTGGAAACATTGTTTAATTATTATTTTGGGCCCACATACCCATCCCCAACCTTTGCTTAGTGTATTAAGTGAAAGATTAACTCAGAACTTTTGCCCTGAACTGCCAGTATAGAGTTTTTAGGAAAATCCTTCTCTTATCTGAGATTACATGAATGTTCCAAATGAAGAACAATGCTGTCAGTGTTTTCTCCTCTCTCAGCTCTTTGGTGGCACACGCTGTGTCCTCTTCCATAACTGCCCTACTCTGCCTGTCCCTCAGGTACAGTGTAGACAGGCGGTGCTGGCCAGTGCCCGCTGCAGTTTGGAGTTTGGAGGCTGACCAACAGCAGAGTGAGGGTAATTCCATGAACAGATGCTCTGGGAGGAAGCGACAGGTGTGGAGTTCCCTGCGTGAGTCTCCTCAGAGGCTTACCGGAGCACATGCATGCCTCCCATCACAGAGATGTCTGACCTCACAGCCACCTCTGGCAAACCTGGTAGAAAGGAGGAGACAGAGAGGTTGGCTGGCCCAGGCTCCTGAGACTGGTAAAGCAAAAACTGGATTCTGTCTAAGGCCAGGGTTGTTTATTGTGTCTCATGATAAGCTCTTTCTTTTGCAAGTTTGAGCACAGTAAAAACCCTTAGGGAAGCTTTGTTTTCTGAGTGTGTTAGGAGGCTTTGAAGCTAAAACTGGACCACACCTGCAAGGGTAGAACATGGGAATTCCAAAACAGAGTGCCCAGGGCAAGCCACACCCAGCCCCAAGACAATCCAAACAGTGGGTTGCTAAGACAAAAGGGTGTGTCATATGACATTAAGTTGCTAAAAGGTATAAATAAATACCCCTATAGTGGGGGCCAGTTCCTTTCTTCCCATCAGGAGGATAAGGACTCCATCTGACCCCAGCTTTGTCTCTTCTTTATTTTCTCATCTTCTCACAGTCTTTCACCCCAAAAATCTCAAGCACTGCAGCAGGTTGCTACCTAAGTGTATCAAGAAGAGCCGTGGTCTAAGCATATAGGGGTTGCCATCTGCTGGTTTTTTTCAGAGAGGGTCAGTGGCTTGTGCTCTTTGCTGTGATGGGATGGTTTTCTCAGAGCACTCTCTGGAGCAGCGGGGAGCAGGAGTGACAGGACCTCCTGCCACTCCTGCTCTGCCCCAGTGCTTTCCTCCTGGGTTTGGCCCCAGATGGAGGTGTTTTACACTGCTGTCCTGTGCTGCCTCCCGTCCAGGGAGCTGAAATCCAAGAAGAAAAACATCCCTGCTCTGGGGATAATACTCTCTCTAGTGTCAGTTTGTTTATTAATTAATTTATTTGTGGTTTTTGGGGGAACAGAGTCTCACTATACAGTTCAGCAGGCCTTGAACTCACTGTGGAATACAGGTTGGTGTCAAAAGTGCGGTGATCCTCTTGCCTCGGGCTCCTGCAGGGTGAGATTACAGGTGTGTGCACCATGCCAGGCAAGAATTTTGCTTTTGAGATGTTTAAGTATGTTAAACTCCTTATCTCAGAAATTAGAGATGGACAAATAGATGGGCAGAGCTCTTGCATCTTTGCATCAGGCCTCCTACCCGGGTGCTGGCTTGACAGTGCGCCTGTTTGCTGGGCCCTGTGTCCAGGAGGACATCACCAGCTGGTGGGTTCCGCTCTGCTCACTCCCTCTGTGCAAGTTAAGTCTTCATGGCTTCCCCCTGTACTATCTCATGACTATCTGCAGTGTGAAGGCACTGCTTTGCTCCAGAATGACACAGGAAAGGCTGCAGACCTCAGATCTTGCCTCTTAACTGCCCTGTACTTCAGGAGAGGAGAGTGATGGGTTCTGTCTCGACTGTGAGGACGACTGCCCCATGACCTTGTGTGTAGAGCAGTCAGTGAGTGGCTCCTGGGAACCCCTTTCTCAGTCAGCACCCTTGCACACACAGTCCCTCTTAAAGTGGGCCAAGATCTCTTTATCATTTATCACACCCAAAGTTTACAACACAGAGGTGAAAGATGAAATCAGATTTGGTGGGAACCATGAAGTCTTATTCTCCTGATGGAATTCTGTTTCCATTACATCTGAGTGTGTTTGTTCGTTTGTTCTTTCCCTCTCCCTCCCTCCCTTCCTCCCTTCCTCCTCCTCCTCCTTTTCCTCCTCCTCTTCCTCCTCCTCCTCTTCCTCCTCCTCCTTCTTCTTCTTCTTTTTCTTCTCTCTCTCTCTCTCTCTCTGTCTGTGTCTCTGTCTCTGTCTCTCTCTTTCTTTGTTGTATTTTTGAGACAGGGTCTCACTACTTGGTTCAGGCTGGCCTTGGGCTCACTTTGTAGCCCAGGCTGGTCTCAAACTGACAACAATCTGATCCTCCTGCCTCAGCCTCCCAAGTGCTAGGATTACAGGAGTGTGCCACCACAACTGGTTTGGGTGAGTTATTTATTGATTGACCTGTATCTTTCCTTCCATTCCTATTCCACTGCCTGCCATGCTAGGGCTTGAATCTTGGCCTTGTGCATGCGAGGCAAGTGGCACTGCCTGCTCTGCCCCTAAGCTTCATTCCTAGCTCTCTTATTGCAATCTCCTAGGAGGCTTAGTAGAATTTTTGCCTGCAATCCTGGCAATTTGGAGGCTGAGGCAGGATGATCACCCCAAGATTGAAGCTGGTTAATGTAGTGAGTTCAAGGCCTTCCTGAACTGTATAGTGAGAGCCTATCTTAAAAAAGAGAGACAAGGGGCTGGGGATTTAGCTCAGCGGCGTAAGCACCTGCCTTGCAAGCAGGCGGCCGTGAGTTTGATCCTCGGTACCGATAAAAATGAAAAAGACAAAAAAAAAAAAAGAGACAGCCTAGTAGAGATGGATGCAGTGGCACATACATGTAATCCCAGCTACTAAGGAGGCTGAGGTAGAAGGATTGCAAATTTGAGGCCACTCAGGGCAATCACAATGTCTATCTCACAATGAAAATTTAAATTTTATTATTATTATTACTATTTTTATCTTTTTGAGACAGGGTTTCACTTCGCAGTTCAGGCTGGCCTTAAATTCACTTTGTCGTCCAGGTAGGGCTCAAACTCACAGTGATCCTCCTGCCTCAGCCTCCTGAGTGCTGGGATTTCAGGGGTGTCCCACCATGCCCAGCCAAACCAAGGATCAAACTCATGACCTCCCATTTGGCAGGCATTTATGCAGTGGAGCTAAATCCCCAGGCCCTAAAAATTAAAATTTTAAAAAGGGCTGACGATGTATTTCAGTGGTGAAGCACTTGCCTGCCGTCTCTGAGGCCCATAGCCAGCTATAATCCTAACTGCTAGAGAAGCTGACCCGGGAAAACTGCAAATTTGAACCAGTAATTTAGCAATTTAGTAAGGCCCTGTCTTGAACATGAAAAAGGGTTGGGGTGGAGTTCAGTTCGGAGGCCCTGGGTTAAATTTAGCTCCAGTACTGAATCAGTCAGTAAAAATCGGAGTGTCCTCTGAGCATTGTGTGCCCATGCAGAGCCCTTTTCTGAGCTCGTCTTGGCTTCCTGTCTTTGCTGCCCATACATGTGCAATTCTAGAAGGTCTGTGTCTCTTTCTGTGCGCTTGTCTCCCCCAGACTGGGTAGTAAACAAGCAAGTCCTGTGCTTGTTTCAGCAGCACATAGACTAAAAATACCACAAACAGAGTGAGATGGATTTGTCAAATAGTGTGCCTTTCTCATTTCCAACCATGTCCTGAGCAGCTGGATGGGAATGCAGATATCAAGTCACTAATGAAGAAGTGACAATTACAATTAATGTGGAAAAGCTGTCTCTGCAGTGTGCGCAACATTTGGAGCCACCTGGGCTGGGCTACAGTGCTGGCTCTCAAGGACTTCCTAGGTGTGCGTCCCTGAATTAATGAGCTTCACCAAAATTCAAGTTTTTCCCCTAGAATATGAGCTGTCCTCTGTTGGATTCCTCCCTCTCTGAGGATTGTTTGATGTGTAGCAAGCATTTTCAGCTCCATACTGTCTGCCTGGCCTTCTCTGAAAGACCCAAGGGGAAGCGGCCCCTCATGTGCGTGGACGCTTCATAGAAGGGGACGGACCTGTGACTCCCGGGTCACCTTGTCCTTCAGAGTCCAGTGAAGCTATGTGCCACTTGCCTCAGCAGGCCTACTACCCGTCACCTTTGTCCAGCCCCAGGACAGATAAACGTCAAGTTTTGGTTTCTGACAGCAGAGCAAACCTTTTCATTCATGCTGGGCAGAGTTCTACAGATCCTTGTCTGGACTGGAATTCAACCCAAGGCATTCCTCAGAATCATTACTGTGGGGTCCTTTTATTGATGTGAAGCCTCACACACAAGACAGGAAAATGTGTCCCATCAGCTTTTGTTGTGGTGCATATTTTTGTTTTTGTTTTTGCTTATTTTTGAGACTAAAGTTTTACTATGCAGTTCAGGCTGGACTTGAACTCACTTTGTAGCCCAGGCTGGTCTCTTGCCTCAGCCTCCTGAGTGCTGGGATTACAGGTGTGCACCACCATGGCCGGCCACATTTTGTTTTAGTTTTAATTCTCATCCCCTCCACACTGTGGGGGAGGGATTTGAACCTATGGCCTTTGCACAAAGCTACATTTCAGCCCATTTTTTATGTTGATTCAGGGTCTGGTTAAGTTGCCTAAGGACTTGAATTTGTAATCCTCCTGCCTCAGCCTTCCAAATGCTGAATTCTGACCTTGGGCCGCCACACCCGGCTATTTGCCAGAATCCTAAGGCATTTTGATAAGTCTGGGCCCAAGGTCAAGAAAGATCTGTTTCATCTTAGATATTCTTTGTGACTAGCAGCCTGGACCCGAGGCTCCCGGACATCCGTGGCCTTTGCTCTACAGAGGCTTTGCTGCCCTGACACCTGGCAGTTGCTGTCCTTTCTGACATTATCTTTCTCCAGGTTCCTTGATTGCGAAATAAGATGCCCCTGTCCTTCAGTTCTCGATTGCCTCCAGACTCAGTGGGCCAGATGACATGGATGTGGAACAGTTCCCCAGAGTTGCTGAGAGTCACAGCATGGGCTCCAGTCAGGCATTGTGTGGGGGACAGATGAGAACTGGCTTTCCTGGTCACTTGCCTGGTTGAGCTCTGCTCTGCCAAGTACAGCCCAACAGCTCTGACTGCGCTGCAGAGTATCACACTTCACTTGACTGAAAGTGGCAGCCTTTTTTTTATTGTTTTGGAGACAGGATCTCACTTTGTAGTGCAGGCTGCAGCCTGGCCTTGAGTTCACTACGGTGTCCAGGCTAGCTTCAAACTTGAGGCAGTCCTCCTGCTTCAGCCTCCTTAGCAGTGGGACTATAGGAATGCGCCCCCATGCCCGGCTTGTGTATTTTTTTGTAGACAGGGCCTTGCTGTGAGGCTGGCCCTAAACTCACTGTGTAGCGGGCATTTGCAGCAATCCTGCACCATTGCTCTTGGCAGAAGTGGTATGGTAATCTTTATGTTCTAGAACTTGACATGGTGTTGCGAACCTGTATTCCTGGCTAAGGTAGAAGAATTGTAAATTAAGACCCATCGTGGACACCTTAGGGAGACTCTGTCTCAAAAAATAAAAAGGATTAGGGACATAGTTCAGTGCTAGATTCAGTCTCCAACATCAAAACCAAAAATGCACAAAGGGGACCAGCATGACTGCACAGCACTCACTTGACCCTGAAGTTTTGGTTTTTATCTCGGTGGTAATTTCTCTCAGACTCCCTTATCATCATAGAGGAAAGAACCTTTGGAGCCAGAGACTTCATTTAACTCCTCAGTGTCCCACTGCTAATGGTGTGGCCTTGGTCAGGTTGTCCGAGTTCCCTGTGCCTTGATTTCTGTGGCTGAACCTACCTTGCAGGGTGGTTGTGGCGACGCCTAAGCTGTTGGTCAGGTGGAGTTCCGTGAGCATCTGTGCTCAGGGTTGGAAAATAAGCTCTCTCCACCCTCATTCTAGAATGTAAAAGATTATAAATGTATAAAGTACTAGAAAATGTGAAGAATTACTTAAAAGTGGCCACAGGAACTCCATGAGCATGTGTGTTATGTAATAGGTCTTCTTAAATAGAGAATCCAGGATGATGCCATCAGGCTGGCGTCTCACAGGCTGCCTCGACTTGAGGGTAGGGCTGGGCTGGCAGGAGAAAGTTGCAGACACAGTTTGGGGTTAGGAAGTGGTTAATCTGCTTAATTCTGTTGGTAAATTCAGCATTGAATTTAATTATGGTAACGGAAGATAGTCAAAGTTACTTGAATATTTTGCCCTACCTTTGGTCAGTCATGTTTGTACCTAGATCAATTATATAAAAGAATCTCTTTTTAAATTTTTTTTCAGGCCAGCAGAAGTAGCTAATGACATCTTGCTTCTGAAATCCTGTAGTGGAATACTTTATCACTAGGTTGAGGTGATGTTTCTAGGGCATGGCAGAAACTGAACTCATCTTCCTGGATGTGGTTGGATTTGCTGATTCAGTTTTTCCTCTCTGCACACCTAAATCTCAGTGACGGTTCCTCAGCACCAGGCTGCAGAGAGTTGTGGGTAGGAGGAAGAAGCCATTGACAGCAGCTACTTTTTTTGTTGATGTGTTTTTTTGAGACAGGGTCTTACCATGCAGTTCAGCCTGGCCTTGAGCTTACTTTGTAGCCCAGGCTGGTCTCAAAGTAATTATTCTCCTGCCTCAGCTTCCTGAGTGATGGGATGACAGGTGTGTACTACCATGCCCTGCAGCAGCAGTCACTTTTGTAAATGATGTGATTACGTTACCAGTAGTTATGCTTTGGTTTAAATGGATCCTTGCACAGTTTATAAGCTTTTAAGCAGATAAAACCAGACAACTGGCTAGAAATAGTCTTGAGTAGCATCCATAAGAGGATGATTTATTAGAAGTCTGTGACACAATTGTGATTATTTCATTTTGAGTTTTAGATGTTAAAAAAAATTAGTAACAGTGTTACAGTTCCTCTTCTGAGATCACCATTGATGAATACTGTTCAGAAATTGGACCATTTCCATGGCCCATCAAAGAAGGGTTTTGGGAGAATTTTGGGCATGGTGTTGTCCTCAGTGCAGAGAGCTGAGCCTGGCATCTCACAGGCACCCAGCAGGCAGGGAGGAATGAATGGGCCCACTGTTTCCAGAGAACTGCAGGTGCTGGTTTGTCCTGTTAGGGTGGTGCAGGCCAGAGTTGGCCTCAAGGGTATGTCTCTCTTCCTTTTGCTTGCCAAAGGGAAGAGCCGTGCACCTGTTTTCTAGCTTCCAGGGCCTGCCAGGGAACTAAGAAGATGAACGGAGGGGTTGACAGAGCCTACCTCCGAGCAGCTGTGCCCCGGTGCCCAGCCTAGCCGTTAGCTCTTGGGCCTTTCTGTGTGGGCTTGGGATGGATTGTCTGACCACTCACTGAGCGTATCTTACTCCCTCCCCACACACCTGCAGAAGCCCTTTCTTCTCTACTTCCTCAGAGCACTGAGGCTGCAGTCTGTTTTGCCATGTGAGCCTCGAGGAAACGGCCCGTAGGCTTTGCACGCTCACCATCTTGTCAGGAAAGTCAGTGTGACCTTGACCGTAGTGATGACCTGCAGCAAGCACATTGTGTGTCTGGCTGGACCCTAACGATCAGAAGGCCTCTCGGCACCTTGCTGTGCTCTAAGTGTTGTTCACTGCTAATTGATTGTCCTAGGTAGGGGTATAGACACTTAATTTGCCAGAGTCGCATCTGACTCCCATGAGTCATGCCAAGCACAGAGCCACTGCCGCTTGGGCCTTTGGAGGATGTCACCGAAAGGATCTTACTGCAGAAAATGAAAATAAAGATGAGCTCCGCTTGCTCTGAGTTATGAAAAAGCTAATTTTCAGTTGAAGAAGTTGTTAGGACCTTTGGACCTGTCAAGTTCCTCTGAAGAATGTTTTCCTTAAGAATCATTTCTGGGCCGGGGATGTAGCTTACAGGTATAGTGTGTGCTTAACACCTACAGGCCGGGAGTTCAGTACCCAGCATGTGCTCAGTCCCCTGCACAAGTATGCACACACACGATAGTCATTGCTGCAAACCCATATCCAAATAGGGACTTTTTTTTCCTTTTGGTACCAGGGATTGAACTCAGGACCTTGCACTTGCCAGGCAGACGCCCTATGCCACTGATCTATATCCTCAGCCCCAAATACAGACCACTTATCCTTTACTTGTGTTCTCTTCAGTGTCGGGGTTGGGCCTAGGAGTGCTGGACCTGCTGTCCAAGGGAGGGTGGCTAGAGGCGAGTTTGCTTCTCCCATGGACTAGGAAAAGTCAGATCTGGTCACCAGCCCCTGGGCCTGGATGTCTTGGACAAAGCTTGCTGTTAGAGAGCACTTTCCTGCATGAACTGAATTTAGCAAAGAAAAAAAGAAAAGAAAAGTACAACAAAGCTAAGGGGTAAACTTTTCCAAAGCTGGAGTCAGTTTAAATATAGCTGATCTGCTTTCCCGGCAACTTGGAGGCTGCAGTGGGACTTGTTGTACCTTTTGTAAGACAAGTGAGGAAAGATGTTGGCACCTGTTCATGCAGAGTTTGTTTATGAAATATAAACTCTCCTGTCAAGCAGGGACTGGAGAGGTTGGCATCCAAGGTAGCTGGGCCTGCCTCAGCTGGGAAGAGGCCATGCCAGGCCCCCTCTGCAGACTTCTCTGCTGGAGACAGGAGGTCAGGCAGATTTAATGTGCTGTTCCCTGAGCACAGTGTCTGGCAGGCTGAGGTGAAAAATTTCTGTGATAGTCACCCAGCCTGATTTTCTTTCCCAAGGAAGAGAAACAATAGCTGTGGAGTCAGCTCTTATTCAGAGAAGTAGAGCCCTTCTCAGCCTTCTAGACTTGATTTATGTATGCAGAGCTGTCTATAAGCAAGGGAGCTGGTGGGAGCAGCCCCAGATCTCTGGCCCAGCTGCTGGTGGGTCCCGGCCACAGCGTGGGTTTGCAGCACATTCTCCCCAGTGTTCCACAGCAGCTGCCTGAAGGTTTTTCGGCTGTGCCTGAACTGATGTCATTTCCCCCTTGGCAGACAACTTGGACTGTGCCGCATCTGAGATATGTCACGAGAAGGTGGGGGTGGGTCGGAGCTGGGGGAGGACAGTGAGGCAAGCAGGGCATAGGAGGGAGCCGCCTGCTTGCTCAGCCCCGACTATTTACTTTTCCTTCTTTGCCTAGGAGGGCAGTTAATTGGGAGCAGCGCTGAGCACTGCTGCCTGCCTGCCCGCCTGCCGGGGCGTGCTCGCCCCAGACTGTCACTCCGGAGAGCCCCGTGCTGCCCGTGCGCTCTCGCAGCGTGCAGGATGCACCTGCAGGATGCCTTTCCTTCTGGGTCTCAGACAGGTAAACTGAGTGAGCTGCGTGCAGGAGAGAGGAGGGTGGGGCTCTTTACTGTGCTACTGCTTTGGTGGGAAGAAGGTTTTCGTTTGTTTACTTCGCTTTCTGGAAGGAAGATTTTAACACAGAGCCCACCAGCCTGCCTTGCTTGCTTGCTGGCATTCCCGACCTCCAGAGCCGCCGCCCCTTGCCTCATGTGCCTGAAGTCACACCGCGGCTGCCCAAGTCTGATCTTCCAGGCTGCTCTTAAAACCACTTGTGAGGCTGCATGGACGAAACCGTGGCCCAGGAAGCTGGGCCTGAGACGGGCAGAATGAACTAGAGCCAAACCCCTCTGTCCTTTTCCACTCTGATTTGGAGAGTAGCAGGGTCTCTTCAGCCCTCGCTTCTGAAGGACAGGGGCAGGGCAGGGCAGGGCAGTACAGCGCAGCTGGGGATTCAGTTCTGTAAGGGGTGGCTGAAGGCTTTCTTCTAGCCAAGCATGCGACTGGCAGTGTGGCTCAGGGACGTCCTGGGGCCCCCGGGTAGCTCTCTGGACCTATGGGACTGTGTGGCTGACTTCATGGCTTGGTGAGCAACCCCCCCCCCCCCCAAGGTCAGGCCCTACATGATGGCTGGTAACCTGACTTACAAGGAGAAAACAGCAGCAAGGACCCCACTGACTGCTGTCCTCTGAGAACATAGCTGTTGCCAACTATTTGTTCCAGGGCCTCTTGGAGCTGGCAGTCCCGGCCTGTGGCCCAGAGGCCTGTCTGTGGTGGCAGAATGTGTCACTGTGACTGCTTTGGGCTGCAAGAGGGCGGGACACACACACACCCTCTGCAACTGTACAGGGCGAGCTGCCACCCCAACCCAGCCCCAAGCTGAGGGCTGGGGGCCTCGATGCTCACTGAAGGGAGGGGCAAAGGTGAGAAAGCTTTGGGCTGTTCATCCTCCTTTACGAGCAGGTTCTCTGCGCATGTTCAGTTTGTGCCTCTGAGGCAGTGGAGAGTGGCAGCCACACGTCCTGAGCACCCCCTAAGGAAGCTGTCCCTCAGCTTGGGTCAGCAGGGGGGATGGGAGCCATCAGCAGGTGGGAGAGGGGTCCAGGGAGCCAGAAAGACCTGCTTTCAGATCCTGGCTCCTCCATTTTGAAACTGGAAATAACACTTTCTTGAAAAGGATTTTAAAAACATCTAGTGTGCAACATGAGCTCCTTGCTGGCAGAGTGGGGGCACTTGTTAAATAATTACCATTTGTATCTGCTCATTCCTGCCCCACCCCACCCCCAGGGATCAAACTCTTAGGACCTTGTGCTTGCCAGGCACCATTGTGCTGTTGAGCTACGCCCCTGCCCCCCACCCTGTATCTGCTCATCCCTAGGGGTGCAGGCCTGCAGGGGTGCAGGCCTGGGAGCTGTAGAGCCACGCTTGTGCAAAGGTAGAGGGTGTGGTTGGCAGGTGCACCTGGTGTGTCTATGAGCTCCTGTCTCTGTCTCTCTACTGGGTGGCTGCCTCTTCCTCTACCAAGGTGCTGTTCATGTAACGGATTGAGGTGGCAAGGAGCTGGTTGCACACACCTGTAACAATCACTCTGGGAGCCTCAGGCAGGAGGATCCCAGGTTTAAGCTCAACTTGGGCAGTTTAGCAACATAGGGAGAACCTGTCTCAAAAAATAAAAAAAGGGCTGATGATGTAGCTCAGTGTAAAGGTTCCAGGTTCAGTCCCTAATACCACAAAAACAAAACACTGTCAGCTGAGTGGGGCTGAAGCTGGGTGGACTCAGGTTAGGACCCTCAGCTTAGCATTGGTGTGGTTGTCACGTTGTCCTGGAGCACCAAACGGCAAGCAAGCCCAAGGCTGGTTTCTTGGCAGTTCTTTGCAGAAGTCAGAAGCCCGAGACCTCTGGAAGGTCCTTGCAGGCCTCAGAGTCTGTGCTGGAAATCTCACTGGTGTAGACTTTCACGTTCTCAGTAGTACCTGTTTGTATTCTTCCAGTGTTTCTTTGCCTGATGGTATAACTCTTGGAGCCACCTTCTAAAGATTATTTAGTGGTAATTTTGTTTTAAAGGTCTCATACACCATATAAACAGGGTCTTCATGTGTATGTTTTGTCTTTTTCTTTCTATTCTGTAAGGACTCTTGTCTCTGCAGTAGGGTTTTCACAGAGGTGCAGGCAGAGACTTAGAGAAGTTCAGCTACTTGACCAGTTTCTCAGTTAACTGGAGAAATAGTGATTGAAGGGTTTTCGGTTGTGTTCTTATTTTTAGCCACTTAACAGGTTATCCCACACACCACTCAGGCAACGAGTTTTGTGTGCTAATTCCCAATTTGATAGTTACCCTGTTATCGTATAAAAATTAATGAAAAATGCGATTTTTGGTCACCTTGTATGTAAATAGTTGAGTGGTAAGTGGTTATGCCCAGGTCTTTCCTAAACCCTGCCTTTTCCTCCCCACTTTGGTGATGTTTCCAGGGTCTGATGACGGCAGACATTTCTAACCTGCCCAGGGGAAGGGGAAGACACAGGCCCATTTGCTTTCACTCCAGAAGGCTGTGAATGGCATCTGCTGTGGTGACTGTGTGGAGACCTTGACCACTTGAAGAGCATGGCCTGGGATGGCAGATGCAAAGACCCAAAGCCTGGGTTTCTAGGGAGAGTAAATGCTAATGCTGCTGTTTTCAGAGTCATAAAAACTACCTGAGAGTCGAGCTTATTAGAATTTATTCATTGGGGGCTGGAGATTTAGCTCAGCGGCATAAGCGCCTGCCTTGCAAGCAGGCAGTCATGAGTTCGATCCCCGGTACCAATAAAAAGGAAAAAGACAAAAAAAAAAAAAAAGAATTTATTTATTTATTTTTGGTACCAGGGATCAAATCACAATCTCATGCTTGCCAGGCAGGCGCTTGTGCCGCTGAGCTCTGTTCCCTGCTAGAATATAGATTCAGTAGTTCTGGCCCAGGGTCTGGGAACATGTGTATTTGTTAAGTTCACCGGGTAAAGGGGAGTGTTTCCAGTTCCCATAAAGGACGCTGCTTCCAGGGTTTAGTGTCTGGAAATAATGACAAGATGGGGCAGAGGAAGTACAGGGCCAGAAGAGTGGAGGGTGGGGATGCCTCCAGATCAGGCGGGCTGGAGGTGGGCACAGTAGGCGATACCTGACCCGGTCTTGAAGGGTGAGAAGGAGCTGACCAGACATCTGAGCTGGAGAGGGAGCATTCCAGACAGATGAAGTTATAGTGCTGTTTTTATGTGTTCTTGGAGATGAGAAGGGAAATTGTCTTGCATCTGTGTTTTGGGACTGAGTTTGCCTGAGGGGAGACCAGGACCTGGGCTCAACCAGGAGCTGGCGCCCTTTTCAGACCCAGAGCAGAAGGGATTCATAGGACCCTTCTGGCTGACTTGCAATGACGTCAGTGTCTGAGGGTGTGCAGACCGGAAGCTGTGTGAGTGCTTCGGGCAAGACACAGTGCAGATGCTCCTGGCAGCCACAAGCTGAATAGAGTGGAACCTTTCAGTGGGTGCCAGAGCTAACCTCTCTGGATATGCCACCACAGATCAGACTTGGTCACAACACATGGTTAGCTGTGTTATTATCTGACAAGATCAGAAAGCAGATTTTCTGGCTAAGAGACTCCTCATATATACCTAACAGGTAGATTACAGATTTGCAGAGAATTAGATTGCAGCGTGTATGTGTAGTGTACTGATCCAAATGTTGCTAGTTTCTGTTAAGTACAGCAGGCATTGATTTGGTAATTTTCTGTATCTAAAGTGAATTTTTTCAGTGTTAGGGACTGAGCTCAGGGTCTTGTGCCCACTAGGCAAGCGTACTACCACTGACTTGAGCCCTCACCCTTAAAGTTCTCTGTCTAAACTATTTCATGTCTTTTGTTAGTACAGACACAAACGCTCTTCTTGTGCTAAAGGGGTTTACAGTTAGTTAGGGGAAGTGGACTGAGCTCATTGGTCACTGCAATCTTCAGCAGGTGGTAGCAAGTGACACTAGAGGGAGACAGGGTGCAGGGTTCTGAGGTGTGACAAGTGCCCCTTCTGCAGGGCCTCCCCCATAGCGCCCTAGTCCCTGCCTTATGCTGCAGGTGCAGGTGTGCAGAAGGACTAACACTGTGGTAAGCTCCAGTCAGTGCAATGCAGGGCAGAGCCATCAAGACAGTAATTTGCAGCTCATCCCCAGGAATGCTGCCTCTCGGGGAAGGGCCATCATGTTCCAGACTGTCCACACTGTGAGATGCGGTGATTCCTGACACTGGAAATGAGTGGTCTTTTCCCATTTATTCTGTGTCAGGGACTCACTGAGTTAGTTGCTCAGGTGGGCCCAGAACCTGTGACCCTCTTGCCTTAGCCTCTTGGAGTAGCTGGAAATATCTGCAGGCCCTTGACTGGTCTGATGCTGCATGTGACAAGGCAACAAGAGTGGGGAGCCACAGTGACTTCTTGGGCACAGAGAGTGGCCTTTGTGTCACCAAGAGAACACCAAAGAGGCCAAGATTCCCAGCCCAAGCTGCAGATGGGAGCCCTGACTGGGACAAGGAAGAGGGAATGGGTCAACTTCAGTGTCATCCTTTAACTGATGGCTGTGAGCCAGCGTGAGTTACTATGTGAGGACACACCATGTGGGAGTGGCCTTTCTCCCTGGAACCTCGGGTGGGAGTCCAGGCCTTGTACAGGTGCCAGGGTAGGTGCAGCGTCCTGCCCGACGTGGCACTTGGGTTTGATCTAGCACTGAGCTGCTGTGGGCCATCATGACTCTCCCTCTCCTGGGTTCAGGACAAGTTAAGCAAGACTCTGCTTGGAAGGGGACTAGCTGCATAGAAGGCAGCAGACACCAAGGCGACATTTGTTTGTACTACCAGGGGCAGAAACTAGAGTGCTTATCTGAGCTGATTAAAAAAGCATGTTGTGACAGCTCCAGCAGAGCCCAGGCTTCTGGCTGTCACCTGAAGGTGAGAAAGGTGACTCTTGCTCATGCCTGTGCAGGTTAATTGGTGAACCCCAGCCACTGGCGT